GGGTTGTAGACAGGTATTTAGACCGAGGGGGTTGTAGAGGCAGGTATTTAGACAGAGGGGGTTATAGAGGCAGGTATTTAGACCGAGGGGGTTGTAGAGGCAGGTATTTAGACAGAGGGGTTGTAGAGGCAGGTATTTAGACAGAGGGGGTTGTAGAGGCAGGTATTTAGTCAGAGGGGATGTAGAGGCAGGTATTTAGACAGAGCGGGGTTGTAGAGGCAGGTATTTAGACAGAGGGGTTGTAGAGGCAGGTATTTAGACAGAAGGGGATGTAGAGGCAGGTATTTAGACAGAGGGGGGATGTAGAGGCAGGTATTTAGACAGAGGGGTTGTAGAGGCAGGTATTTAGACAGAGGGGTTGTAGAGACAGGTATTTAGACAGAGCGGGATGTAGAGGCAGGTATTTAGACAGAGGGGTTGTAGAGGCAGGTATTTAGACAGAGGGGGTTGTAGAGGCAGGTATTTAGACAGAGGGGGTTGTAGAGGCAGGTATTTAGACAGGCGACTTAGGAGGATGTAGAGGCAGGTATTGAGACAGAGGGACTTAGGGGGGGATTGTAGAGGCAGATATTTAGACAGAAGGGGTTGTAGAGGCAGGTATTTAGACAGAGGGGTTGTAGAGGCAGGTATTTAGATAGAAGCGGGATGTAGAGGCAGGTATTTAGACAGAGGGTTGTAGAGGCAGGTATTTAGACAGAGGGTTGTAGAGACAGGTATTTAGACAGAGGGGTTGTAGAGGCAGGTATTTAGACAGAGGACTTAGGGGGTTGTAGAGGCAGGTATTGAGACAGAGGATTTACGGGGTTGTAGAGGCAGGTATTTAGACAGAAGGGGTTGTAGAGGCAGGTATTTAGACAGAGGGGGTTGTAGAGGCAGGTATTTAGACAGAGGGGATTGTAGAGGCTGGTATTTAGACACAGGGGATTCTAGAGGCAGGTATTTAGACATAGGATTTACGGGGTTGTAGAGGCAGGTATTTAGACAGAAGGGGTTGTAGAGGCAGGTATTTAGACAGAGGGGGTTGTAGAGGCAGGTATTTAGACAGAGGAGGTTGTAGAGGCAGGTATTTAGACAGAGGACTTAAGGGGTTGTAGAGGCAGGTATTTAGACAGAGGACTTAGGGGGTTGTAGAGGCAGGTATTTAGACAGAGGACTTAATGGGGTTGTAGAGGCAGGTATTGAGACAGGGGACTTTGTCTACACTGACTGGATACAGAGGTTGTACACGTGTTGGATTTATTTTGCTTGGGCAAGTGGTAGATGAAACTTTTTGTCTGCTTTTGTTAGTTGTTTAACATCAGATTCTGCACTTTTGAGCTAAATGGTGGACCTCTGTAAATAATCAAGTCTGGACCAGATGATGATGATGATACTCAGAGGACAACGGTCCGTAAATAATTGAACCTGCACCAAATGATGATGATGATCATAGTTGAAGAAGCAGGTTTTAAGCAGTGATGATTGTGATGATAATGATGATGATTGTGATTATGATGATTGTGATTGTGATTGTGATGATGATTGTGATTTTGATTGTGATGATGATTGTGATAAAGCGTGATGATGGTTGTGATGATGATTATGATGATGGATTGTGATGATAATTGTGATGATTTATCTTGATTGTGGATGATGATTGTGTATGATGATTGTGATAAGTGGATGATGATTGTGATGATGATGATTTGTGATGATGGTGATGATGATGATGGTGATGATGATGATGATGATGATTGATGATAAGATGGTGATGATGATGATTGCAGATGATGATTGTGATGATAATGATGATTGTATGATGATGGTGATGATGATTGTGATGCGTGATGATGATTAATTGGTGATGATGATAATAGTGATGATGATTGTGATGATGGTGATGATGATGGTGATGTGATGATGATTATAGTGATGATGTGATGATGATGATGATGATGATTGTGATAAGTGTGATGATGATTGTGATGATGCGTGATGATGATAATGATGATGATGATGGTGATGATGATAGTGATGATGATTGTGATGATGATGATGATGATGATGATGATGATGATAAGTGATGATGATGTGATGATGATGTGATGATAGTGATGATGATGATGATGATGATGATGATTGTGATGATGATGATGATGATGATGATGATGATGATGATGATGATGGTGATGATGATGGTGATGATGATGATGATGATGATGATGATGATGATGATGATGATGATGATGATGATGATGATGATGATGATGATGATGTGATGATGATAGTGATGATGATAATGATGATGATGATGGTGATGATGATGATGATGATGATGATGGTGTGATGATGATTGTGATGATGATTGTGATGATGATGATGTGATAATGCATGATGATGATTGTGATAAGCGTGATGATGATAATAGTAATGATGATGGTGGTGATGATGATTGTGATGATGATTGTGATGATGATTGTGATGATGATGATGATGATGATTGTGATGATTGTGATGATGATTGTGATGATGGTGATGATTGTGATAATGATGATGATGATGATGGTGATGATGATAATAGTGATGATGATTGTGATGATGATGATGATGGTGAGCATGACTTGAAGATGATGACAGGATGAATTCAATCTTCATTTATAATGATGGATGACAATGTTATGATGATGAAATGGTGATGAGATGATGATTGTGATGATGATGATGATGATGATGATGATGATGATGATGATGATAAACAATTTTAAAAACTGTTGATAAGTCTATGTTCATGAGAAGCTCACATGTTGTAGTTTCAAAAACAACACCTATTCCAAATGTCTTTTTGAAAGCATATTTTCCTGTGACAGTATCAATTTTCACATTTAATCTAGTTCTCATACAAACACCACTCTACACGACAAAGTAAAAGCTAAGTCGAGTTTTTAGCCGGATTGCCATCAGACTAATGTAATTTTACCTCCAGCTAATCACAATGATAAACAGCTTACTGAAACCGAACTGAACATCCATCAGTGGTGATAATGCATAAGGTTGTAGGAAACGAGATACAAAAGATCCATTTCAATGCTAAATGTTAAATTTTTTGTAACATTACTTGAACACAGAAACTGAAATGAATGAACTTACTTAAAGAGTATCTTCTGTACACATCCTTTCAAACCTCTGTCAGTATCTCAAACAGCGAGGTTAAAAGTTGTTGTTTTTTGCTCCGAAAAAAATGTTTAAAACCTGAATTCAGTGAAAACAAATATTTATTTCCATGCCGATGGGGAATGCTGGTGATTCTGTGCTTGGAGTCTTAGACAAACAGTCCTGTCCTGGTGATGGAAGATTATTTCGGGTGATGTGTTGGATGAAGAAGCTGATAACGCGTGATTTACTTCATCATCAATAACACCGGCACTGACGAATTTGAAAGAGATGGAGATTTTGTGATATCAGCTTTTTAAAGTCAAGAATTGAAATGTTGGTACTGCCTGAATGCAGAGAGGTGAAAGTGTCCGGTTTTGTTATTCAATTAATTTAATTGTGGTAAAGTGTAAGATGGGTGGCTGAGTGGGATAGATTGTTTGTGGCTGGTTTTTGTTTATTTGGGGGGGGGGGGCATCACAGGTGTCGAGGGTTGTTCTACAGTTGTGATTATGAAAATATAAACATGATGATAGTGATGATAATATTCATGATGATGAAAATAGTAACAATCCTTGAAACAAGAATAAACGGCATTTACAAAATAATTAGTTTATTTTACAACTGATTTTTTCAACTGGTGCGATTGTCTTATCTGTGAAGAACTGGGAGTGTTTAACAATATATTTGAATACTTGAATGAAGTAGGAATTCAATACTGCAAAACATTGGATGCTTAAAGTTGAAATGGAGAAGATAAGGCATCATATATCATCAAAGACATACTTATTTAAATTCCTGAAGATGGAGATGAAGGTCTTTTTTAGATTACCGTGTTGGTCTGCGTGGCCAACAGGGAGAAGTTCAAGTGTTTGAGTTCATCTTGTTTGTACGTTGCTGATCTCTTGTTCAAGAGAAATATATGGAGGCCGGTTCAGAGAATCGATGATGATGATGATGATGATGATGATGATGATGATGATGATGATGACGACAATGACGATGATGATGATGATGATGATGATGGTGATGATGACGATGATGATGTCAGTGATGATGATGATGACGATGATGGTGGTGATGGTGATGGTGTTTATAATGATGATTCTTATTATGACAGTAGGGGTCTTGGTAGCAGCGGAGATGAAGATGAAGATGATGATGATGATGATGATGATGATGATGATGATGATGACTGTCATTTACGTTTGGTTATGATTATGTACAGTATCAGATCGACATGGTGGGACTTGAGCCCATGATAATAATTTTATTAAAAACAACAATGAAAATCATACAAAAATTCATAAATACTATACTACTACTACTTCTACAACAACTACTACTGCTGCGACTATTACTACAACTGCTACTACTACTACGATTACTACCACAAGCGACAATGAAAATCATTTTAAAAAATCATAAAAAATTCATAAACACTACAACTGCTGCTATTACTATTACGACTAAGACTACTACTACTACTACTATGACTACTTATTAAAAAAACCCGTAAATAATAAGAACAATAATAATGAAGTTCCCCACCAATCATAATCATAATCTCAAAAACAGTGGTAAAACCATATCAAGACACGTAATTTGTTTCTGCTGCAAACCAACAGATCTCCTTATTGACAGTAAATTAATCTGATAAAAAGACATGTCAATGTTGTAATCCTTAAACAGGTCATCCCCGCGTCACAGAACTGTCGACCCCCTGCTTCTGTGACCCACTGCCGTCTGACCGGGGGTCTCTCATTGAGAAAGGCTTCACGACACATATACGTCATCTCTCATTTCCTTCCACGACAATAATGCCTTCACCTGTGTATCATTTGCCAAGATTTCACGCTCTTTCTCCACAGACCACAAATCTATCAAAATGACCACGCAGCACAAAACCTGACTCTCGAACGATTGGACCTCGACAAGATTCAACCATTCCTTGAAACAAGGAGAACTGTGCTTGTGGTGTTCTCCTGTCTTTTAGCGCCAGCAGTTCCAGTCTCTCCTCAGCTTCGGAGAGAGTTGCTAGTCATCTTGATTTCCTCATTTACATAAGCATCATTAGAAATATCGCATCTTGTCTGTTTTTAGTGACCTCAGGTGTTGTGAGTTATTTCAAGCCCAAACAACACGCGAGAAAATCTTCAAAAATAATTTTTTTCTCTTTTTTAACATATTTCAATTTTTAAATCAAACTATCAGTTAGGTGATGTTCTTGCTGATAAAACTTTTTGAAGACTGAAATAATTACAGGAAACACATGATAGGATTTCTTCTATAATTTACATATTTGATTCGGGAATCAAACTGATGCAAAGCTGGAATTTTTCCATGGAATGTGTTTGAAGTTATTTGAAGTATTTTGGTGCCAAGTATTCTCCACAGTTGAGGAATATATTTGGTTTTAAAATACCCTTAATCAGAATTTTTAAATCTGAAGATCCCTGCAGCTACCTTTAGCATACAAATCCTGTCCCCCATCATTCTGAAAGCTGACAATTTGAAGGCAAGTTATCTGTGTTGAAAGGGTTGTACGTCGCACTGAAAATACAGACAAATTGCTGAAATTCAGACTTAAATAAACGATTCCGTGGACCAGGGGATCTGACTTGAATCTAAACCTGAGGGAAGGCAGTGCGGATTTGCAGTCAGTGGAATTTAACTGAAGTGAACTACCTGAAGTTGTCTGTGAGTTCGTCTGTATCTGGCTCCTTGACATGGAGAGGATATCGGTCACGCGCTTCTCATTCCGGAGGAAGGGCAGTTTCCGCAAGGACAAAGACAAGGATGACCACAAGGATGACTTTGATTACTCCAAGATGACCTACATCAGGTAGGTCAATATTGTGTATATGTTGTTGGTGAATATGCAAATATCACCCCAGTGGGGATGGATGTCGGTGTAAAATGTTGATTTGGTGGACAAAATGGCATATTGTGTAGGTGAAATAGTGTATATGTTGTTGGTGAATATGCATAAATCACCCCGGTGGGATTTGTTGGAGATGTAAAATGTTGATTTGGTGGACAAAATGGCATGTTGTGTAAGTGAATATAGTGTATATGTTGTTGGTGAATACACAACTATCACCCTAGTGGGAATGGATGGAGATGTAAAATGTTGATTTGGTGGACAAAATGTCATATTGTGTGGGTGAATATTGTGTATATGTTGTTGGTGAATACACAACTATCACCCCAGTGGGGATGGATGGAGGTGTTGATTTGGTGGATAAAATAATGTATTATGAAAGTCAACTTTGTGTACATAGTTTTGGTGAATACGGGAAATATCACCCCCATTGAGAACTCATATTCAGGTGTAAAATGTTGATTTGGTGGACCAAATGGTGTGTTATGTGGGTTTTTAATGTGATACATTTTTGGTGAATACACATAATATCACCCCAATGGGGACAGATGAAGGTGTAAAATGTATATTTGATGGACAAAATGCTGTATTATGTAGATTAATATTGTGTATTTGTTGTTGGTCAATACACAGATCACCCAGAGCTTATATTCAGGTGTAAAATGTTGATTTGGTGGACAAAATGATGTATTATGTAGGTCAGCTTTGTGTATATGTTGTTTGTGAATACACCACTATCACACCAGTGAAAATGGATGTCGGTGTAAAATGTGGATTTGATGGACAAAATGATGTATGTAGGTAAACCTAATGTATATGGTTTTGGGTAATACGCAAATATCACCCCAGTGGGATCATGTAAACAGACAAAATATGTCATATACCATTTGTCTTACAGCATATTGTTTCAAAATATATCTGTCAGATACCAATTGTTCAACAACTTATTGTTTCAAAATATATCTATCTCGCTTTTGCTCACTGGATACCTTCTACAATACAAGGTATAGGAGAGACTTGTAATCTCAATAGATCAGATTTATAGAAACGAAACGTCTGTTGACACTGATAATACCCATCACGGAATGTCTATAACAATCTAGGTGAAGTGGAGTTGGAATATAATATCATCTGGCATCATGAATCATGAAGGATAATAGGGTTGTCATATTTCTCATATTCATATGTCAAGATGAGATATTGATAACGTAGTCCCATCATGTTAAACATTTATCAATATGACTGTTTCAATATGAAGTCACGTTGACTTGAAGGTACTGACTCTTGTCTTGAGATGTAAAATGATGGGATGGAATCGCAATATGATTCATCCCAGTTTTAGTTATATTTTCATTTTCTTAAATAAATTCTATTTTCATTTCAAATTTTAAAAAAAAAAAGTTCGGGGGAAAGAATTTTATTTCTATTTCAATTAACAAATTGATAAAGTGGGCAAATATATTTACAATCAAGGTAGAAGATATGATAATGATTATTATGTGTGTACTTATATTGCGGTCCACGAACATTCAAAGTAAATTCAAACTATTTTTAATCATAGAATATGTGTCTTTTTAAATGTATAGCTAAATTAGTCTAGAGTTGCTAACGGCTGAAGGGATGGTGTAAATCCCACTAGGATCCATGCAGGAAGCAAATGTACTGTAAGTCCCCATAGGGGCGGTGGGGTAGCCTAATGGTTAAAGCGTTGGCTCGTCACGCCGAAGACCCGGGTTCGAATCCCCACATGGGTACATTGTGTGAAGCCCATTTCTGGTGTTCCCTGCCGTGATGTTGCTGGAATATTGCTAAAAGCGGCGTAAAACCAAACTCAGTCAGTAAGTCCCCATACATTATTATTTACAAACAGAAAAAGTCTTTGCACCAAATTCAAAAGCAAGCAACCGTCATTCACATTGCAAAGTTACAGTTTATGGTACAGGTCAACTTCCCTCAGGTAGCTAACAATGAGATGTCCGGTGACGCGGGAAAACAGGTCTTTCAGATTTATCGCATCATACTGTAAATCCCTTGCAGTTGAAAAGTCCACACAGCCCAGTAGAATAAGAAGAGAGAGTCAGGGTTCAAAGTCGGCATATGATTGTTTAGCATGTGGATCTGGGGATGAGGATTTTTTAAATCAGTTGAGTCCTTACACCCAGCCATTACAGATGTATGGAATTCCGATAATTTTCTCAATCACTGGACTGTCTGGTCCAGACTTGATCGTTTACAAACTGCTGTCATAAAGCTCAATATAGCTGGAATGTTTCTTAATGTTATTATTTGTTATTATAGGATATTTATATAGCACACATATCTGGTATTTTTCCCCTCGACCATACTATCAATCATACTAACTATCTCAACTCCCTGGGGAGCATACAACTCTTGCAACCACTAGGTGCACCGAGTTATTGTGACTTTCCCATCTGTACGAGGTACCCATTCACAGCTGGGTGGACTGGGACACATAGTCACAGTACTATGTCCAAGTCTACTGCACGTTGCTGTACCCGCAACTTGGTGTTTGCACGTATTCATGTAGCCACCATCTGGTCATATACCAAGGGATTCGTGGGTTCTGTTAAGTGCACAGGGTTGTGTACTGTACACTAGGGGTTGTGCCACAAAGTTGACTCCAAAATGTTTACACCCGGTCACAGCTGGGCTCGATCCAGGCACCTGAAGCTCACTGGATCACTAGCCTGGCGCCTTAAACAGCTCGCCCACCATGACGCTGAGATTGAACTATGTAAAAAGTATATTTATTTCTCCCCAAACTTAATGTGAGCAGAACAAAAGACTTGATTTGAAATACCGCTGATGTATTCATGAAGAGCCATGGACTGCAATAGAGACAGTGAATTATTACTGGGAATGACACACAAAGGACCCCTAAGTACAGGCGGCTTAATATCATCTCCCATTGGTACAAACACCGCTGATGAAATATGTAGAGGTACTGTAGCTGACCTTTAGTTAACTTGAAACATTGATGAGTTATTGTAACCAACACTGCTCATAAGAGAATACTTTGCATGTATGATTAAGCCAGGGTAATATTACAGCTGGTTCAAGGTTTAGTTCGAATTCATAGAATGTCGGGGATTTCCTTGAATGTCTTGGAATGCGAATTACTCATATTGACTTTCTTTGACGGACGTAAAGAGTTCTGCCCCTTACTTGCGTCATGATCTGCTGGTTTGCTTGCTTTCTTTGTCGGAAATGAATTTGGAATACTTTTATTGGACATGGGTGATTCTGTTTTAGATATAAAGAGTTATGGTATGCCCCTTACTTGTGTCATAATCTGCTTGTTTGCATGCTTTCTTTGTTGGAAATGAATTTGGGATGCTTTTATTGGACAAGGTGACTTTGTTTTAGATATAAAGAGTTATGCCCCTTACATGTGTCATGATCTGCTATGTTTTAACCGACAAATGATATTCTGATAACAAAGTTAACATTAATTAAGAAAATGTTCAGCCAAGCTGTGACACGGAGACAGAAACAGCTGATTATTGACATCCAGTAGTGACATTTTCCCTGTTTAGCAAGTGATGTACTTCAACACATTACATAACATGTCCAGGGCATGTCTCATATCGTGACATGGAATGTCTAGACAAGATTGTCTCCTCATCTCCTCATCTTTGTCTCCCAGACTGAGCACACAGCAGACATTGTCAAGGCATTGATCCTGGAGTGGAATGCTGTTTAGTGTTGTGTTCAGGATTATATATAGAGACATAAAGGTCATAGAGAACTTGATGACATAAATATGCTTGAACATGTACTATGATGTAGTAAATATTCAAGTCTGGACCAGACAATCCAGTGATCAACAGCATCAGCATCGATAATGGTATGTGTCGACCAAGTCAGCGAGCCTGACTACCTGATCCCGTTAGTCGCCTCTTGCGACAAACATGGGTTGCTGAAGACCAATTCTAACCCGGATCTTCACGGGTCTGGAAGAAAGGCTGGACTGAGAATAGGTTCTGTTCTGTTCTGTTCTGTTCTGTTAGTCACTTCTTTCGACAAACATTGAAACCAATTCTAATCCGGATCTTTGCAGGTCATGTGAGATAAGAAAAATATGAATGTTATTATTCTGAAAAATTCATTTCATGAAAAAAAGAATGTTGTGTCTAGCCCCAGGATAACTTTGAAGCATGACATTGGCATCTGTTGCCATGCCAGACATCAGACCATGTATGAAATATGTTGAAATTCTTAACAGTCATAACACCTTTATAAATCATGGTTCCAATAGATACACTTTGAAAAGGACTTTAAAAAGTATTATAAGGCTGGGCCCCGTTTCACAAAGCTCACGTAAGCCTAAGATCTCGTAACTTCTCCCAAAGCAATCGTACTCCCTTTGTTACAGTATAGGAGGTATGGATGCTACGAGAAAAGTTACGAGATCTTAGTCTTACGAGAGCTTTGTGAAACAGGGTCCAGGATTGTTGCGTATTGAAATTGAACTAAAATTGCATCAAATTGGGCTGCCGCCTCCGTGGTGTAGTGGTTAGAGCGTCCGCCCGGAGAGCAGAAGTTCACGGGTTCGATCCCCGACCACGTCATGCCAAAAGACGTTAAAATATGGTACTTGGTCCCTGCCTGGCCCTCGGCATTAATGGGTACAACAAGGACTGGTCGGCTCGGAGTCAGTATAATGTGTCTGAGTGGGGTATTCATGCTTCACTGCGGCATGGAATCTCAGTGGGCTAGCACTATAAAGTCTGGGCTAGTACAAGCAGCTGCACATACACATACACACGCATGCACGTCGTCATATGAGCGAAATATTCTCAAGCATGACGTTAAACCCAATTTCACCTCACCTCAACTAAATGTGACTTTTAACTGATGAAATTATTCAAACAATAAAAATGGGGTACTGAACGTGAATCTCTTTGGGGTAAGTAACTTAATGTGATACCTTTAAATTC